GCTGCTGCTGCTGCTGCTGCTGCTGCTGCTGCTGCTGCTGCTGCTGCTGCTGCTGCTGCTGCTGGTTGGTGTTGTCGTTTGCTGCTGAGAGAGAAGGAGACAGCAGCGCCTCGATGCCACCCTTCTCTAAGACAGAGGAGACAAGGGTCTCCGCCTGCTGCAGTTCTTCTTTATCTACTGGGGGAGGTGCAGCAGCAGCAGCAGCAGCAGCTGCTGCTGCTGCTGCTGCTGCTGCTTTCTTGTTTTTCTTCTTTTGCTTCGCAGCAGACACACGCAGCTTTGCTGCTGCTGCTGCTGCTCTCCTGCTGCGTGCTGCTGCAGCACTCTCCCCTGCTTCTGCTTCTTCAGCCTCTCCGTCGTCGCTGTCGCTGCTGCTGCTGCTGCTGCTGCTGCTGCTGCTGTCTTCTTCCTCACTGCTGCTGCCGCTGCTGCTGCTGCTGCTGCTGGTGGGTATGCCTGCTGCTCGTTGCTGTCTCCTTCTCTCTATCTTTGCATGCAGTGCTGCTGCTTCTTTTCTTGCTGCTTCTATCCCCCTCCTGACAAAGGGGAGGCCAAATAGACCCTTTGTAGGCAGTTCAGGTGTATCTGCAGCTTCTGCTGCTGCTGCTGCTCCTGCTGCTGCTCCTGCTGCTGCTGCTGCTGCTGTTGCTGCGCGCAGTGCATGCAGCTTCTCTCCTGCTGTCTTTGGCTCTGCTGTCTCCTCATCAGACTCATCGCCGCCGCTGCCGGGGCCCTCTTCTTCGCTTGCTGCAGCAGCACAGCAGCAGCAGCAGCAGCAGCAGCAGCACACTCAGCAGCAGCAGCAGCAGCAGCAACAGCAGCAACAGCAGCAGCAGCAGACTGCAGCAACAGCAGCAACAGCAACAGCAGCAGCAGCACACCCAGCAGCAGCAGCAACAACAGCAGCAGCAGCAGCAACAGCAGCAGCAGCAGACTGCAGCAACACCCACCGTCGCTTTGCTGCTGCCCCTTCACCGCCTTTTCTAACGCTCGACGCTCATCCAGCCCGCGCTGCAT